TCCATAGTCAGTTGTATCCAACCTACATATACACTTTTGTGTCAAGAAAACGGCGCCAAGACAATGCAGATATTGTAAATAGCGAAAAAAAAAAAAAAGAAAAAAAAAAGGCGCTGAGCAGGTGATCGGAGTTGAGCGAACGCTAGGATGTGGAAAGTTCTCGCATTGTATTAAACGCACTTTCTTAAGAGAAAATGCAATTATGCTTGATGGTCCACGAGGGAGAAATGATTTCATATACAGGACTAGATGCTGTGAATATTGACAGAGTGCCTAAGCCATCGATTGTCACTTAAAAACTAGTCAATTGAAGATAGGTTATCTTGTTAAGAAGCCAATCAAGTCTCGGGTCGGATCTCGCACCGGTGCTTGAGGTTAGTGGGGCGACAAAGATGCCCGTTATCTATCCCATACAACTCCACTTTCGGTATTTGTTGATGAACACCATTAGATTGAAGCAGCAAATTTCAACTTTGACCAGAGAACATGGCCTCTAGACTTGACCCTCCTCGTCGAATCATAACTGCGAATCTTCCGCTGCCCTCAAGCATGAAAGATCTTGTCAACCCAGAGCCAGCAGTTCAAGTGGTCGCCGAAGCTTTGATACAGTACCCAGAACTCGAGGGGAATGCTTATCGTGGGACTGTCTACACCCATGACAATCTCCCAACTAACAATGACGGATTGTACCGTGACAAGCTCACTGAATGACATGATGATACGAATTCACAAGACTGATTTCTTATTCAGAGACGTGAGGCTAAAGGAAATACCGAATAGCAGCATTGTGATTCCCAATGGCGCAAATATTCGGTTCAATGATCTTGCGCCTGGCCATATCGTCCCAATGGTAGCCCCCCCGCTCCCCCCCCCCTCCCCAAAAAGAAAAAAAAAAGAGTTATTACTTCACGAAGCATTGATTGATAACAACCAGTATAGCACCGAACACAGACTACGGAGTACAAAATTATGGTGAGTGGCGAACTTTACCTTGGTACGCCGGATGAGCCAGCAATCGGAGATGCTTTCGTGCGGGTAAAAGAGACTCGATGCATCCCTGGCGATATTATTGTTCAACGAGGAACTCTTCACTCGTGAGGATGTTTATATGCACTGTCATGACGACTGCTAACAATAGTCCAGATGGGAAAATCGCTCAACGGGATGGGCGAGGTCCATAGTAGTCATGATTAGTGCTGAACCCAGCAGGGTAGAGGTAGATGGGAAAGAGAAAAACATCCTTCTTAAAGAAGCTTTGCACATTTAACCCTTATAATACTTAAGCAAGTCAAGAATTCCCCCTTTTCCAATGATTTTAGTTCAAAGGAAAGAAGATTCTCAATGTATGCATGATGATAAGTTGTGGGTGTCTACAGTCTGTAATTTTGGTCAGAGCACAGAGGGTTGGGTCTGATAGTCGATGACGCGATACTCATGTAGCTTTATAAATGAAATTGGAGGCATTAGTTTCGACTCGGAGTGTCAAGGCGTGAGAGCAAGTGGATCTATGACTTGAAATAAATGACCACGTTTTTATTTAATGATCGCCCCGACCGGCTTTGGTTTGCGTGGAGTGATATTGGAATTATTATGGCCCTTTTGGCGTACAAGTTCGGAGTGTGTCTATGTCTGAAAAGCAAACACCCTCAGTGTAGGCACCGTCGCAGTGGTAGTTGCTCTTCGTACGCAAGATAAGAGAAACCTTTTAACAGCCCTCGACGAGTTTCCCCTCATCTTGTCTGAAGGGATAGGCAAGCCACTTTCTTCATGATAAGCCTATTCTTGGACCCTGCCGTTGCCTCTCAACCTGGCGCCGCACTTCCATAAAATCAATGGTGCCGGAAGGCCAAGGGCAATGAATACAAATGCAAGGAGACTGTTGCCCCAACCGTAGCCTAAGATATGATACATCCTTGGGGCAAATAATGGAAAGCGAATCCAGCGATATTTCGAAGCAGTTGACTTGCGGCAGTAGCACTGGCGACATGCTTTGGGAAAGAATCCATGATATAGGCCTGCATAGCTTGAGTTCCAACGATAATACCGCAGCTGAAAACAGCGATTCCGATATCTGCTACAATCCAAGAGGCGCGCCCCTCTGCTGACCATCCATACCAAAAAAATCCAACAGGAATGAGTATTGTACCTGGTATCATCAAAAGAACGCGGTACTCGGGCTGGGTCTCGCCTTCTGCTCGTGCTTTGAGATACTGCCAGATACGGTCCATAACGGCAGCTCCGGCCTGAGCAGTAATTATGCGGCCCACTGCAATCGCTATGTAGTGCAGCCCTGATACAGACACCGATTGACCTAAATTCTCAATCCAGAGTGTAGCAAAAGTGGATTGGACAATATATAGTATGCCATAATTATAAGCCAGAAAAAGAGACATGAGCTGAATGAGTGGTTGAGTCATTAAATGGCGGCATGGACGGGGGAGGCTGATCCTAACAATATGAGATAGAATTGTGTTCTTTCTCGTGTGTGGCGTAGTATTGCTGACCCGTCCTTTTTCGCATTTGCTTTGCCTTGCGATGAAGGATGTCCCTGCGAATGTCTCCGGAAATATCAGGAAAGCACACAGCATGAGCACAGCGTCAAATATAGAGAGAACCCAGAATATCCAACGCCGGCCGATAGAGCCAGTAGGCACACCACCAAGTATTAGGCCGATCGCGGGACCAAGAACGGGTAGGAACGTGGCAATTGCAAATGAGCGCCCACGCTGTTCGGACCGCCAGCAGTCGGCTAGAACTGGGCTTTCGATCCGGACCAGCCATTAGTAATTGACGACGCCTTGAAGCAAAACGCTGCTGCTTTACGTACAGCATATTGAACGCTGCCCCCCAGGCCTGCAAAAAATCGGCTTGCAATCATCAAGGAGTTACTCTTTGAAAATCCACACACATTATTCCTACCAAATATGGAATCAGTTATTGCCGGTTGAGGACATCGAAAGAGCTAGGAAAAGTGTCAATAGATGTGTCTCCAAACATTGCTGACCACAAGACATAGAAGCACCCAGACAGAATCCATATACGCTTTCTACCAAATTGCGACCAGTTGTAGGGATTTGTAGGGCCATCTGGCCCATCCCAAGTGACCTGGCCACATGGAATAATTAGCCACTGTTAATTTTGCGATCGTGGCTAGATTGTTGAAGCCTGTACGCACGAGATAGGAATCGTTGACGCGTATTTCCACTTTCTTGACTCCTGAACTATCATTTTGGGGAGAATTCTTATCAAGATCTCCTCCTGTATCAAGACCTGGAGATGCCAGTGGACTAGTAACCATGCTATCGCGTCGTACTTGCAGCAAATAGCATCCGACAGCGAGACTAATTACAAAAGGGTAGCTCACACATGGTGTGTTTTGAGTGATGAAATCAGAAGACGTAGCGGAAAAAGGAAAAAAAGTCAATACCTGAGGTGCAAGGCTGTGCAAGTCCGAGCTCCGATATCCCCGAGAGCAAATAGGGATGAAGCTGATAAAGCCGAATGATGCGAACAGTATTCATTCTCGATGCTCTTCGCGGGGTCGGAATGATCTATGCACAATATTGGACGTCAGCTTCGGCTTCGGGTGACTGGAGTAGTACCTGGTATTGGAACTCAATGTTGGCGGGCTAAGTTTATAAAATACTGTATGTATAATATGCTACCTCTTCGTTGATTGAGCCGCAGCCTAACACCACCCCTTTCAAAGCAGTAGGGTTTCCACACACTTGTCTTGAGCTGCTTCAAGATTCGATGTCATTATAAACCCGATTGAGGTCGCATCCCCCGACAGAATGGAGCGTACAACTCTCTAGCCTACGAGGAAGTGGATATGCTCTAAAGTACAGCAAAACGACTGTAATCCAGGCCACATACCGAATGCAGTTGGCCACGCCGCCTTAGTCTGGCCAAACGAAGGAACTGCCTTGCCCACAATCAAATCAATCAACCGTTCTACTTCTTATTACCATCGTTTAGGCATTGAAGACATGGACGAAGCCCTGGATCTGTAATACATAGGTAAAAATATAGAGACACCGCAATTTGCTCGCTGACACCACGCGTGCGGCCCGGCACAGGCTTTGCTCCGGTCCTATAAGGCGCTAGCTGCGCCGGTTCACAGCCCGCCAGAATCGCGCCGCATGTGCCGCTGCACTGGCTCATTAGCATGATAGCAGTTAGGTCAAACCGGCAAACCGGAGATGAAACCCTGGCAGTTAAACCCTGTATCTAACCAGCGAAATCCTGAAGGATCGTAAGAACCCCTAGCATCCGGCCAGTGTTGAGTGAATCAGCATTATTAGGGAGACTACTTGAAGGCTCCTATCCTCTCAGCCAACCCAGCCAGCCCTACGTGACCTGCATCTTGCTCCAATTTGGACTAATATCGTCAATGGTGCATCAACGGCGACGCTGGCTCGTAGCCATACTGCCGGCCATATGGCTGTGTCAAGGCACATTTGCGGAGGACGATGAAAACAAGATATCGTATCCCGACACTGCGAACTTAACCTTCCACTACCTGGACACTGTTGATGTCTCGTTCACTACAAATTATGACACACCATGGATGTACCTCTGGTGTCTAGACTCTGCCGGGAGCCGTCAAGGTAGATTTTCTGCAAGCCCCGGAACCGTGTCTGGATGCAGTAACACTGACATGCGACTGTAGAAATTGTATACTACAGTCCAAGTGATGTGAAAGATAGGACTACCCTTCCTGTGCAGTTGAAATCGGACACGGAATACACGGGCAACATATGCTGGTTCAATCTCGTCCCTGAGCAGCCCGCATCGATTGATGATGACACCGGCGTCGACAGCTTTCAGTTCAACTACATCAAGGAGGAGGACGGATCGGTCAGTTTGTCCCTCTCACGGCTAGTCCACCTCATAGCCAGGTCATAGCATCTTCCTTTGCGGGCGATTCTGGGATAGTGACATCTCAGGGAGGTGTCGTCAAAGCTTGAAACTGTACTGTATCGCTATAAGTATGTTTGCTAACATGCCCGTCTGTAGAAAACCTTTGGCTTGAACTCAACCTCAACAGCTTCTCCGGCAACTTCCACGAGGATTTCAACGTTGGAAACCTCGACAACAGCACCAGCAACAACGACGGCTTCACCAACCGCAAGCGCCGTGGCCCAAACAGATGCGCCAAACTCAGGTCTGTCAACGGGGACGAAGGCTGGTATCGGCGTGGGTATCAGCTTGGTAGGGATTGGAATCATTGCGGCGATTACGTGGTTTCTCCTCCGTAGGCGCCGGACACCCCAAGTTTTACCGGTGGAATCATGGTCGCCAAAGGTGCCAGAGGTGCCACAATACGCCGAATTGCCCCCTCATAGGCAAGCCGAGGAGTTAGACGCTGGACCTGCGGGCAAACTCTGGCCAAAGTCAATTGAAGGAGCCCACGAGCTTCCAGCTTACCAATAATTAGCGAGATTGCGGCGCGCACGAAGCGACTCGGTGCACAATGTGCATGATTCCCCACAGGCTACGGTGGGACCGACACGGTATCAGCATGTTTTCGTGGCGGCTTGCCCTCGAAAACGTTGGAAAAAGGAGCTAATCAACAAACTGAAACGGGCATTTTCCAGCTGTGCCGCTCTAGCTGCGCCGCAGCCAATCTTCAGCAGGCTTGGTCGGAGACGATGCAACCTCTATCCGAATTAGCGTGTCGTGATGCTCCTTGATAATTGACTTCTCGCACGACTGAGGACTGGCTGCAAGTTATATATATATCGAGTTCTATTTTGCTATACAATGCAAGCGGTTGATACTGCATGTAATGGAAATCCAGCCATGAAATCTAAATGATGTTTGCTAAGCAGCCGCTCTGTCGACATGTTTGGAATGCGGCAATTCGATCGGCTTATGCGCATCCATTTCGCACCGTACTTCGAGGCAATGACACGGACAGAGTGACTAGTAGGCTGCTCAACACTGGCAAACAACCTAAAATATCCTCTCGGCCGACGTAAACGCAAATATGGGTACCATGAAACGAAACGACAACCACATTGCCGTAATGAGGTGAACTGTTCAGATGTCCCATGGCAACTTGTGCCTTACCATCGTGGTGTCCTCTAGCGCTATCCAATTTTAGTCGACAATTTGCAAGAGTAGACTCCAAGCAAGAGTCATGATGGGTGGTTTCGCCTTGGAATTTGGTGGTCCTCGTCGTTAAGAATGGCCACAGGATTCTGGCTGGACTTATAAGCCTCAATTGACCTCCTCTGCCATTTGTCAGCAATGAATGGTCCCATGGCCCTATATTGGTCACCCGCAATCGATTAGTTTCTGACTTCTCCACATCACCATTTTTAGCAGCTTCAATATGTCGATTCGCCGACAGTCGTGTGATCCTTGTTTCAAAGCTCGACGAAAATGTGACTTGGAGTATCCTACTTGCAAAAGATGCCAAAATATCGGCAAAAGATGCAATTATATCTACCCACCACAGTTGTCAAGGGGTGCGACAGGCGCAACATCTAGTGCTTTAGCCAGCCGCGCTGCCACAAGCCCTTCACGTCGAAGTTCTCACTCCAGGAAGTCTAACCAAGTCCGCGTTCACCGCGATGCACCGCTCCAATTAAGCAATGGCGAAATCTTACAACTGGACTATGCAACCATTCCAACATTTCTTGGTTACTTGGGCGAATTGGCGCCGGTAATTGGTTCAACGAATTTCGCTTGGGTGTTTGATCAAATCCGAGCATGCCCAATCGCGTTTGCCAAGCAGGCGGAGACATTCTTCATACATAGGAGTTTATCTCGTGGCGTCTTGCCAAAAGCGTTGAGGGCGGCTTTCGGTATCTGCGCGGGGGTGCTCGTGATGAACTCTAAGACCAGATCGTACCTATTCAAGGCTGTCGAAGCAGAAGTCTCGGATCTCATTGAACCTACCACGGCGAGCACCCTCATGGAAGGTCTAGCCATGCTACAGGCAGCTGTCCTGTATCAAATTATCAGATTATTCTATGGAGACCTTGAGCAGCGAGTGGCTGCAGAGCAGCAGGAATTCTTGGTCAGATCTTTCGGGCTCACCCTCCTGCGGCGAGCAGATATTGAACTACGGAACGATCCATTGTCCTGGGAAGACTGGATTCTGGCCGAAAGCATCCGCCGAACCGTCGCAATTGCTTTCAAGCTGTATACAGTATTTTCAACAATCAAATACGGCACCTGCGCAGAGATTGAGGCCATCAGCATCCTCCCTATATCCACGAAAGGGGGCTCCTGGCATTCGAGGGAAGTCTATCTGCAGCATCCTAGCAAAGACGAGACAGTAACCTATGCCGACTTCTCGTCCAATTGGGACGATGCACCACATGAAAATCTTGACATCTTCGAGAAGCTGCTCATCATTGGATGTAGAGGTTTGGACAAGTTCCAGGCCTTAACCGGTTCGCAGGTTGTAGACAATAATGTGCAATGTTACAGAGCAATGGGAGAGAGACCCATCTGACAATGTTTCGTTATTGTAACAACTAATGTTATCTAGCGTTATATTTGCAAGACAATCATATAATCGACCTTCCCATGGATACTAGCAGCACAAGTGAAGATCTCTTCGTCGAGATGCCAGTATATGACAAAGCATGTATGCCCCTTTCACTAAGTACCTAGTTAGGGAATCGGCTCCCACGAGGCGGAACCGCTACGGTCATAAGTGGGTCATCCTCATCGGGCATAAGTGGATTTCTGCATACGGTCAAATGTGGGGTTACATGAGATGCTCAACATTTGGAAATCGCGAATATCGATAATAGAGAGTGCGGGCAAATGTGGAGGACAGTCCCTACGACTCGATAACTGCGATTATCATATCGCAAGCACAGACGGAGGAATTAATAATAATGACTTTGATTTGACACCGGGGATTGTTGGTGTGGGTACAATGAGTATAAGAAGCATTACCCTGCCCGTCCATGTTATCCTTGACCTTGGGATTATCAACATTAAAAGACAAGAAGCCCCAATCCTTCTCAGACACAAACTGTCTCTTATAGTCATATTACTATACTTACTAGCCATGGGTATTGACTTTACCGTTTTCAAAGGCTCTAAGTCGGGTGACGTTGTGGAGGATAAGGGACATCGCGAACCAGGGCCTACCGAGGTTCTCGTCAAGATTTCACACTGCGGAGTTTGCGGAACTGACGAGCATTATCGCCATTATGAGCAAGGACTTGGCCATGAGGGTGTCGGGACCATCATCGAGGTTGGGTCATCCGTCCATGATATTTCCGATTTTCGAGTAGGGGACAGAGTGGGTATGGGCTGGTTCCACAAGTTCTGTGGCCATTGCAAGTCGTGTGTTGCAGGTGAGCGCTCCTTGCTATCAATAAACCTCGTAAGTCATAGGTGCTCACGTTTCAGGCCTTCAAACACAATGTGTGGATAGCACATACTTTGGCACCGCTAATTGGGACCAAGGCTGTTTTGGTACTGCCGTGGCTTGGGATGTGTCAACGCTCTTCAAGATCCCTGAAGAAATTGCTTCCGAAGATGCAGGCCCACTGATGTGTGGAGGCGCCACAGTCTGGAGTCCTCTTTATGAAGCGGGTATACGACCGGGTGATCGCGTTGGCGTCATAGGAATCGGGGGTCTTGGACATTTGGCCATTCAATTTGCATCCAAGATGGGAATGGAGGTGGTTGTATTCTCAAGCACAGAGTCCAAAAGGCAAAAGGCTTTCGAATTCGGTGCATCTGAGTTCTATGCCACAACTGGCGTGGAGCACTTTCGGGGTGTCAATAAAATAGATGCTCTCTTGATCACAACGAACGTTAATCCGGACTTATCGCTGTAAGCATTTTCCCAGCAACCGCTGTGAAAGACACTAACCTTTCTCTCAGCTACTTACCAATTCTATCACCCGGAGCGAAGGTATTTCCTCTGACTATTAGCACATCAAATCTTCAACTCTCCCCCTTGTCGTTGATTGCCGGCAGCCTTAGAGTGATTGGAACGGGATTGGCACCAACTGCAAGCGTACGTACTATGCTTGCATTTGCTGCCAAAAATAGCATCAAACCTCAAATTGAGATATTCCCCCTCACGAAAGTGGGCATCACCGAAGCCATGCAGAAGTTGAGACAAGGAAATATGAGGTACCGCGGAGTGCTGGTAGCATCGCAGGCCTAGGTAGAATAGCTGAGTGTTAAATCGGTTCACCTTCTCTGCGATGCAGAATGGATAATTGTTGATTCACATGTGAAACAAGCAATGGGCATTCTAGCTTTTCTTAATCAAAATAAGCTTCAGAAGAGATGGCCAGGCATGACTAGTCCTCCCAGATTACTTATTATATACAAATTTAACTCTCAATCTCTTAGCCTCGCGTATGCAATCTCAGAAAATGGCATTTAATTACACGTCCTGGACCTTCTGACGCCCAATTTCCTTCTCATCTGGTTGTAAGGATTCAGCAGGTGTTCTTACTCCTTCGATACCCACAACACCCGAAACAATAGGAGCATCAGCAAATGTACCGAAGTAGTCAAAGTCATCAACAGCAAGCTTGTCAGAAATCGGCCAAAAATAGTCTAGCGCAAGGTAGACCGCTGCAGAGACCAGGAACCCTGCAAACCAAGACAGCTTGTACAATTTCGTCCATCCACCCCAGGACGAGTTCGAAGAAATTGCTCTTTGTACCAAACCGGGTATCAGAAACCAAACACCCATGGGCCATACTCTGACAGCGCGTAGGTTCCAATCTTTAGTATACCAGTAGATACTCTGAGGGGACTCGCTGTAGAGCTCAGTGAGCTTCATTGTCCGTTTTCGTAGAAGAAAGTAGTCGGCGAACATGATGCCCATCAGTGGCCCAAGAAAGATGTTAAAGCTCGAGACAACAGTAAGGAAGTTTGTTGCACTGCTGTATAGCGACCATGGTTGCATGACAAAGGCGAAGAGGATCGTTGCATATCCACCAGGACGGATGGTGAACCATCTTGGTAATAGAGCAGCGAGGTCAATCCCTGCGACGACAGAGTTTGATGCCACGACCATCCCAAACTGCGATAATATGAATGCAAGACTTGCAAACGCTACGCCTGCACGAGCACCCTTGTTGTCTTCATTCCTACGGATTGCGTCAAGAAAAGCGTATGGCTGCCAGAGAAGTAGCTTTTCCTCAGGATAGAGAGTTGCGACGCATAAGATGCAAACAATACCGATGCAAGCCACGACTATGGTGCCAAGCGGAATCATGATTAGCTG